TCGTTTTAGGCTGTCACAGGCCACTGGGAGCCTGTACAGTGGTACCTCGGGTTAAGTACTTAATTCGTTCCAGACGTCGGTTCTTAAGCTGAAACTGTTCTTAACCTGAAGCACCACTTTAGCTAATGGGGCCTCTTGCTGCTGCCGTGCCACCAGAGCACGATTTCTGTTCTCATTCTGAAGCAAAGTTCTTAACCCGCGGTACTATTTCTGGGTTAGCAGAGTCTGTAACCTGAAGCGTCTGTAACCCGAGGTACCACTGTACTTTGGTGCTGGTATTGGAAGAGGTGGGGTGGGAAGGTGTAAAAGGCGACCCCTGCTGGAATCTGCCGACATAGCAGCCTGACCTTATATTCGGTGTCCCCGGCCCAAGGGGGACTCTCTGGGTGCGGGGTGGGGAGTGCGGGGAAGGGGAAGGGGGGGCGCTTTCGGCTCATCCTTTCTCCTCTTCTGCCCTTGTCCTGGTTGCGGCGCTCCCTCTAGTTCTGGGGAGACCCCAGCTGCTCTCCCCGTTGCAAGTCTGGGGTTTGCAAAAGGAAAGAGGGACATTGGGGGGTGGGGCAAGAAGCAGGGGTTCGTAGTGGCGCCCCCCGATCTCAGCTGGGATGTCACGGGGACCCTGCTCTTGGCATTCACCGCGTGCCTTAATTGTATGGACATTAAATCAAGGTCCGCTGTGAACACGCAGAGAAGGGCCCGGGAGGGAGGGGCGTGGGGGGGCCTTGGGAGGGGAGGGACAAAGCCAAGCAAGGTGGGGGCGAGTTGAATAAAGTCAAGGGCATAATTGGGATAGGGACAGCAAGCCTGGTCCCTCTGCTGCCCTCCCCACCACCAACCAACACACCTAACACAACGCGGCCATGCAGACTTCCATAAGAAGCGCATCCGAAGGCACCGGGTCCTGCACACTGGCGCCCCCTACCGTTTCCCAAAAGCAGGCGCAACCTTGCACCGAGACTGCAACGCGCGCGTACTCGCATAAGATGTCCTCACTTCATTTTAAACACAGAGATAGTCCCTTTAGCACACGCATGTCAGTGCACACTCATAACACACGCAGGTCAGTGCGCACACGTAACCCCAGCTCTGTCACACATGCAATCATACAACGAACCGCTTTCTTGCTGTTCCCCAGAAAACCTAGTTTTTACGCGGGCACGCACGCACACACACACACACACACACACACACACACGAGTCTGTCTTAATGCAGAGAAAGGACAAATAACCTTCTTTGCGTGCGCCCATATCCACACACACACTACGCACTCTGGACAACACAGCTCAGGGTCATAACAGCGACACATCCCTCCTCTCTGTATTCGTCCCTGCGCAGGCCGAGACAACCACACAAGCCAGCCTCCCTCCTGCGAGGTTGCAGTGACGGCGTGTGCTTAAGCAGGGTATCCAACTGAATAAATCAAAGATACGCAGAGCCAGGCGGATGCATTGCTCACCTTATTCCACAATAAGCAAAAGCGCGTGGGGGAAGGGGGAGGCGCAGAGGTCTCCGAAACACGCGCGGGTACGCGCATCATTGCCCAGCGCGCGCACTTTTGCGCGCACGTCTTCCTCTTCTCCACCTTTCCCAAATCCTCTCCAGTCCAGAGTGCCCTGCTGGACACATACCCCCTCTCTCTCCCATCCCAAGCAAGCCTCCACGAACCCCATCGTGAAATTTTGCAACGAGCCTGTTGTAATATTTTTAAAGGAGCGCAACGCGCTCAGAAATTGCTGCTTAGCTTAGAGAGCGAACCTAGGAAAATGGAGCGTGGCAAACGCACCCACGCGCACAATCACACGCAGGGTGTTTAACACTGCACTGGGGAAATATATATATATAGTGCCCCCCACAAGAAACTAAAACATTATAAACAGCAGCCACGGGCACCCCGAAACAATCTGCTCCAGACTGCAGCAAACGGCTTGAGAGGAGTCCCAATCGCACAGTCAGGAAGGTTTTAGATTTAAGGAGTGGGGAAGATAGGAAGAGAAGATGGGACTTTATCTAAGCGTTCCCCCAGCAACTCAAAGAAGGCCGCAGAGGAGCTGCAACGCCAGGCAACTTCGCCTGACGCCCTGATCAGCAAGCGCGCCATCCATCTCGTCACAGGACACTCAGCAATTGCAGAAATCGACCAAGCCTTTGCCTCGACGGTTAAAAGCCTGCCCCATGCGCCGAATAAAATCCCGAGTAACACTTGCGCTTTCCCGAAAAGCCATAAAACGGAATCTAACAGAAAGAAGCGACTTTAAAAAATAAAAAAGAATATTAGAAATAAATATTATTTTTTAAATCCTTCTATGCAATGGAGTGACTTGCCCCCAGGATCCAGAAAGGTGGGAGACAACAAGGAGGAAATCTACCCTGAGCAGCTCAGGTGGGGCAGACAGACTCAAGGAGAAAATGTCAAAAGTTTTGAGGCAAAGCGTTTGGGGATTTTTCGTTTTGTTTCTCTAAAAAAAAAGCAGCAGCTTTGATTTTTTAGATTATCGCCCCACCCCCACCGCCGTCCATCTGCTAATTTGGATAAGAAAGGACGGCTGCACTCAGTCTTACAATTTGCAATACACGGGGGGGGGGGAGAGAGAGAGAGATGTTAGAAAAAAGAATCCGAATTCGTGCCAAATAAATTTGACTGCTCCCCCTCACCCGCCTTCCCAACGCCACTCACCTCCCTCCCCCACAACATTTGCAACCGATATACTAACAGGACTCAAATTAAAGGCGTTGATCTTCCGATGGTGAGGGGGGGACGCCATGTCCTTTCGCCGTCAGCCCTCAACCTCGGCATTAGCCGATTCAGCGCAGGCTGGTTTTTTCTTTTTTCTTGGAAAGCCAATTCCGACCGAAGCATCTCCGGGACCCACAAAACGCACCTCTGGTCCAGCGCCTGGGCGCGCGCATCATTGTATTTTTCTCTCGCGCCCAGAGAATTACATTAAACGCATCTCTGAGGTTCTGTTTTGTTTTTAAAGCCCACCAAAATCAAACAAAAAAAATCTTGCAAAAAAAAAATCCGTCGAAAGGACCTCTTTTGGAGAGTCATTTAGCTATTTTTATTTAAAAATAAAAAAATCAGGTGCTATTTCTCGCTCTTAGAACGAAGAAAGCGGCTCTTGTCGGAGGACGCATGGAGAAGCGCCAAGATTGCAAGAATATAAAGATATATTTTTTAAAAACGGCAAAAAACAGATTCCTTTGCCGGCTGATCAGCTTTGCAACGAGGAGCGAACAGGCTTCCTACACGCCGCCGCCCTCCTCCGCCTCTCTTTTCTCTTTCCTCCTTTCCGTCCTCCAGCGCTCTTTTTCAAAAGACGCCCTTTCTCTCTCCACGCCTCCCCCTCTCAGATCTTCCTAGGCTAGCAAAGGAGGGCTTGGGGAGAGAGAGGGAGGCGGTGGGTCCTCTCTAGTCCTGGCTGGCTTGTGCTGATCCAAGCTAAAGGGTGAGACCTTCTTCCTCTCTTCCTCCTCTTCTTCCTTTCTCTCTTTCTCTCCCTCCCTCTCCATCCATCCCAAGCTCCGGAGCGCATCTGCTGATTGAGGTTCAGCGCAAGAGGATTACATTGGGACGCAATGACGTCATGGCCAGGACAGAAGTTCGCTTCCATTAGCCAAATCCTCATCAGCAAAGATGCCCTTGAAACTGCGGGAGGGGGGGGAGGGAGAGGGAGATCGGGGGGGGAAGGGCGAGTTTGGAGGTTGGCGGGTGGCTGGGCCTCTGCAGGATTTGGGGAGTGAGGAGGGATGGGGTTGGGGTTCACATCTCCAATGTGATTTTTTAAAAAATAAAAAAATGTTATCATTTTGCATGGCAGAGGCGGGTGGGTGGGAGGTTACTGAGACATAAAAGGCTCACGGAAGGGGTTGCAGATTTAGGTAGGACCCTGATCACCTCCCCCCACTCTCTGTTGCAAAGCTGGGGTTGCCTAGGGGAGGGCGGCTCTTAAGAGTATGGAGGCATCCTGCAAAGGGCCTACGGGCCGGGTTGGAAATTGAAGAGGGCCACTGGCAGTCAGAAATAACCCAAAGACATCCTCCCTCCCCCCCCCTCAAAAAGAGGGAGAAGAGGAGAGGCAGAGAAAAGAGGGAGGAGGGCGGAAAAGGAGAGCGGTCTAACCCATAGTCCTTTTCCTTACCTCAGAAGACACCCGCAAATCTCGCCTAGCCACCCACCCACCCGCGCGCGCGCCTCCACTCACCGCCCCCCCGGCCCTCCCCAGCTAGTTGACGTGCATATCATTTGAGAAACAGATCCCAAATCATTGGAAAGCCAGCCAGCCTCGCCCTCCCTCCGGCTTGCAGCCCTCCCCCCAAAAAACACCCCCTCCTCCCCACGAACACACACCTGGAAGGAAGGAAGGAAGGAAGGAAGGAAGGAAGGAAGGAAGGGAGGGAGGGAGAAGTCATGGAAACAAGGCGGAGAGAATCCGAGGACAGAAAGAAATCTCGCAAGGGAGAGAAATCCTGCCTCGGGTTTGGGGAATGGGGTCCCTGATCTGCGACATAAAAGATCCCCTTCGTCGCTCGCATTTAGGGTTTGGGATCGAGGGATACACGTTCATTTTGCTTTCTCGGTCACGCGCGGAGAAAGAGATGGACACGGTATACATTCTTATTTCGTCGTCTCACATTCTGTCTCTCAGCAGCACACATACACACGTTCTCTTCCGGCCCGATCCCCTGCGCGTTTGCTCGGAAGAAGTTCTACGATGCGTATAAGGGGCCTTAAGCTCGCGTAAAATCACACACACACACACACACACACACACACACACACAGAGGCATACATTAAGATTGCACGCGGAGATGGGAAAATTGGCGCATAAATGCCGGAGGTCTGGATCCTGCCCCAAAGAAGGGTGTTCCCCCACCACTACCATTATTGGGAGAGGTTTGAGCAAGACCTGAAAGCCCATCTGATTGCCTTCAAACCTTACGTTAGGCTGGATACGATCCTCACGCAGGATCTTTTTTTTCGGGAGGAGGGGGGTCAGGAATGGCCACGATCCTCGCCAAGCCAAGCGCTGTCACCAGCGGGATCCTATGGGCGTCCACTGAGAAGCAGGTCCCTGCGAAGGATGATTCCCAGGGCAGCCTGGGCACAGAGGACGGCGCAGAATGGAAGGTCTATGCTGGATTAGGCCCCATAGACGAGGGCTTTGACCGGCCTTTGCCCAGTGTGAAGGAAGGAGCAGGGATCCCAGCTCACGCAAGCGCGCCGGGAAAGATCGACGGCCTCCGGGTTACATAACCGTCCACTCGCAGGAGATGCAATGCCTCCACTCAGTCCGTAGCATTCTTGTTTTTCTCTCCCCTGAACTCGCAATAGCCCTTTCCCTTAAACTAGGTAAGCTAAACCAACCTTCTGCCGTCTGGTTCCAAAACAATGGGTCTCTCTTATCTCGGTGTATATATATTTAAAAGTGTCCCTGACATCCGTCTTTCCAACCAAGGATAGAATAAATGATATTATATTATTAAGAAGCATAACTCTCAGGGAAGAGTATTTTTTAAAAACAGTTCTCATCTTTCGAGATATATACGCACACCACGCAATTGCAAAACGCCAGACGCTCCTGATTTTTCGATATTTATAGCTGTAGAGACCCAAGATAGTGTACACACGAACACACCTCTGAACAGCTCTAAACACACACACAAAACCTTCCACTGCTTCAATTGTTTCAAGGCAAGATTTTGGGGTGTTTTGTCATTCATGACTATCTTTTCAAGATAAGAAGAAATATATATATATATATTTAAAGGCGGCGACATGGGGGGGGGAGGTTTGCAAATAGGAAGGGCTCTCCCTCCCTGAAAAGCACTGGGATGTAACCAATTTTTGTTCTGAGCGTGGCACTCAAAGACGCCAGGGGCCAAACAAACGGACGGATTCTTCTTCTATTCCGCCCTTGGAATAGATCGTAAAACCATCCTGCGGTTTCTGGTGGCGAGGCGGGGTATCCTTACCCAGACCGATCCACAAGCCTGTTAAGGCGCAGCACTGAACGGCAAAAGCCGCCCCAGTCCCTATATTTCCCCCGTTTTGAAAAATTGCGCGAGAACTGGCGAGTGGGTGGGTGGGGAGAAATAAAAGGGGGAAATAAGGGGGGGGAATCATAATCCGGGTTTGCAAAGCAGCAGCAGATCTGTTGAGGGCTGCAGATTCTTGCAGCACCACCCGTGAGAAATCTCAGCCTTCAAGGTGTGTAGGGCGTGAGTGGAGGGGGTGGGGAGATAAACAGCAGCTATGCCCCCTTTTTGTATGTGTGCATCTAAGCCCAACTGTGTGGGCGAAAGCAAAGGGTGGCCCTGTATTTTTACACTCAAAAAATATTGCTTGAAATATTGGGGAGGGGGCGATAGGAAGAGGAGAGCCAACGTTGCGCGCTCTCGGGTAACGAATGCAGTTCCATTCTCTCAGCTCCTCTCTCCTCCTGCTTCCTGCGCAGTCAAGGACGAGGGAGGCTGGGACGCCTCGTAAACTGCTTTAGCCTCCCTCCAGCTACAAGGCCGCGGCCGGCGGAGCCGAAAGCGCATCGTTTACCCGGCATCCACTCCCCATCCTTCAGCTGCGTTGGGTCATCGGCTGCATCTTTCCTTCCCAGCACAAGTAGAGTCACATCCCAGCTGGGGAGAAGCGAAAGGAAAAGTCCCAAAGCGTTTCCGGCTTGTGCCATGTCCCCGAGATGGCACTTTAGGAAAATAACAATAAAGAGAAACGGATCTCTGGAAGCCACGGTTCCGGCCATAGTGGAAGCGCTGATCCCACTGGGAAAAGACGCAAAGTTTGTTTTTTTATTAAAAAAAAAAAACCGCGCTAGTGTCATTGCTGAGAAGGGAGCCTCATTGAAGAGGACTGACTCCGGAGTAAACCTCCCCAATTGAAATAATAATAATAATAATAATAATAATAATAATAATAATAATGTACAGCTTTGGCTAGCTGATCTTCCTAGTTCCTGTCATCCAGCTAGGCCTTCGAAACGCCTCCAAACTTTCACATTTGAAGAGTTCAAAGTCAGGCTGAATATTTAGGACGGGGCTTCCTTTTTTTTTTAACCCTTCCCCTCTACCTCCCGCATGTCTTGGATTCTTTAAATCTCTCCTCCCCCAGTTTCCCTTTTTAAAAGGCACCAAAATGTGGAAAAGGAGGACTTTTTTTTGGAGGGGGTAGTAGCATAGGGCAAGTGATTTTTTTTGGGGGGGAGTGAAACCCCCATTCCCTCTGGTGGGCAACCCCCCCCAAAGAAAAACCACCAAAAAACCCCCACAAAAACAAAACACCGAGTACCAGTCACCCAATCCAGCCACCCTCTCACCCCTCTTGCCACCCAGGGTCCCCTTATCTCTCCGGGCCCTTGTGCCCGCCCTGCCTCGCCGTTCTCTGCCTGACCTAGCAAAGTTAGACGGGGTGGTGCGCGGTGGACGGCGGCCATGCAGCTGTGCGGTCCAAATGGTGCTGAAGCGCCTCCGCCACCGCAGCCAACGGGCCTGGCTTCTCGCTTCGGCGGCGCAGCTTCGCTGTCCATGGTATTGATGCAACCCGCGCTCGCCTTCCCTGGTCACACTTGCACCCACCTCCATGTAGGCTCCGTTTTGCTGCCTCCTCAGCCTCCCTCCCTTCTGCTCCCCTCGCCCCCACCCGCTTCTCAGTCTTTTCTTTTCTTTAAGCTGCCCCTTGGATTCCCCTTCCCCCATAAATCAAAAGTATCTGTAAGATCAACGTCCTTCCGTCCTTCCTTCCTTCCTTCCGTTTAGGAATATAAAAAATCCCAGCGATAGATTACCCATTGGGTCCCTCCTAACGCTACAATTCTATTATTCGAAATCCTTCGAAAGGCCGTGGCTTTTCACTGCGGAGCGGGACGTTAAACGGAAAAGGCGTAGTGGTTTATTATCCGCGGGTGCATATTATCCACACAGCGATCTCAAGGCCACCTGTCTTCTCTCCGGGCGCCCTGCCATTGTCCTTCCTTTTTCTTAATTGCATGTTCTTCGGGGCAGAGAGCCGCCCGCTCTCGCGCTGAAATTGCTCTGCAAAGCGCCCCACTTGACAGGCGCCGGTGGCAAGCAGCAGCAGTCACCGCGTTAAAGCGCCTCCTCGGCTCCCTCAGTGAAGTCAATTGGGCTTTTAAAGGCGCCTTGTAAAGTAGCTAGTCCTCAGTAAAGACCTATCTGCTAAGTCCCATTTAAAGTCTAGCAAAGTCGACTGAGGGAACGGAAAAGGCACCACAATACAAACAAGCAAGCAAGCAAGTACACTGAAAAGCAATTAACTAAAAAAAGCAAACGAAACAATTTGCAACACAGCTAAGCTTACAGACACCAGGAACTGTTGGCCTACAACCACAGAGCCAATGCGTTCACAGTACCATGAATGAGAATTGTTTGGCCTGCATTTCCAGCGTCTCCGGCTTAAGCGGGCTGCGGATCGGGGCAATTAAAGGTGGCGGTGAGAGATCTAGGCCGTGTTTCTACTCGGCTGAGTGTGCATTGCGGCGCGCGCGCGCGCGAGGGGGGTGGGATGCGGATTAAACTCCACCTGTCATTGAAATCACCATCGCGGCTTGTCCTAGCAATTTCGCATTTAATTGTTCAGCCTCGTGGTCTTGAAAAGAAAGGTGGGAGTTGTTCTTCCCTATCTCTGTGGGACCAGACCAAGAGAAGGGCGCAGGGAGGTGGGGAGAAGAGAAATAAGAACGTTGGGGTTTTGAAAAAGCCGGAGAAGGAAAATCGAAAGGTTTGTGCGCGGAGAGCTGATCTCTATGGGCCATCTGAATACCGTTTAGTTTTATTTTATTGTTCAGTCCCAGGATTCGATTGTTTACAATCGACCTTATAAAGCGCCTCTTTTTTCCTTTTGGAAGCGGGGTGTAGTTATATCTTATCCATTTCGCTGAACATTTTCTCTGTTGGCATTTTCACCCTCTCCGCTTTAAGGCCAATTGCATTTCTTTAAATAATGCCCCCAAATGTGTCCATTTTCTTTCTCTTAATGATCAGAGGAGCCAATTGATTCGAAGACCTTTTCTTCCTTCCTTCCTTCCTTTCTTTCCTTCCCCTCCCCCCAGACCACCACCTACTGTTTCTCAGACAAAGAGATCGTAAACGTGCGAATTTCGCTCCTTCCTTCTCCAGACCTTCCAATACACCCGCAAAGGGGGGAGAGCGCATTAAAGGGGGGGGGAACCGCCCCACCACCCCATTCCCCAGTCCATAGGACCAGAAAATCCACCAAGCAAACGATTATCCTTAAAAACCTGCCAGTTCGGCACCTACCCCAAACGCAACACCCCCACACGCACCTCGGTAAAAAAATAAAAATAAAATAAGAAACACACCAAAACCTCTCCATGCAATTGACTAAGAAAGCCAGACTTCTTTGTAAAAGCAAAACCCATCGTTCATTTTGCTGATCTGAGCGATGCTCAGCAAATTTCTCCTCTCCGCATCTACAATCTTATTCGGGCTACCGATTTCGGCACCTCCATCGCTTATCCCCCTTAAATGCTTCCCACTGATTTATAACTGGGAAGATACTATCTATATAGTAAGAAGGTACTATATAGTACTATGTAAGTACACAGAAACATCACACATCAGAGAGAAAGGGAGGGGGCAAAATGATATATTCGCAAGCGGGCACATGTTGTCAGAGGTCAGACCACATATTATAGATTCTCTCTCTCTCTCTCTCTCTCTCTCTCTCTCTCTCTCTCTCACACACACACACACACACACACACGTCCTGTATACTTTATAAATATTCCCGCTTCACATTCTTATCGAGGCGCACACAAACAGGCACTCCGTAAACGCAGGTGGATCTTTTGTTGCAATGTCCCAAAAAATCTAGATTTGGGGGGGGGGGAGAGAGAGGGAAAAGAAATCCACGTGGAATTTGAAAAACGAGGACAAAACCCGCTTTCTGGTTGGACTTACAAGGGGGCTGCAATCTTCTCTGGTCTTCTTGTCCTTTTCGTCTTCTTGGCCTCCTTAAGAGTTGATATTATTATTATTATTATTATTATTAATAATAATAATAATAATAAAATAAAATAAAATAAAAAGCATGGTGTGCAGATCTGCAATAAAAATAAATACCCATGTCTCCCTCCCCATCATCACTCACCTTCGACAGCCCCCAATCTACCTCTGTGTGCCCCCCTTTCCTCCTCCTCCTCCTCTGATTTCTCAGTCTTTCTCTAGGTTGTAAAATGAGGGGACGCTGCGAGCTTTTCCCAAGGT